AAGACAGCGGGGGTGGGGCCCAGGTCCCTGTGTTTCAACAAGTCCTCCAGGTGTGTCTCATGCACATTCAGTTTTCAGAATCTCATGCTGGAGTTGACCCTCCCGACCCAGAGCTGGGAGGGCTCCAGAGCTCAGGACCGGTTCCGTTCCCCTGTCAAAGCCGGGGGCTGCTGCTTCCCAAGAGGAGTGAGGGGTGGTCTTGAGAACCGGCCTCCTCTTCAGAGTCCCTGGAAGGATACTCCTCTAGCCTTCAATTAAAGGTAGGAATTGGGTAGACAGGGTAAGGAATCAGGAAATAGCCCAGGGGAAGAAAAAAGTAACCCAAAGAAAAGGATGCTTGGGAGGACCAAGGCTCCCCCTACTCTGACAGCGCTGAAGTCACACAGGGCCACGATGGGGAGGAGGCTTTAATGGAAAAGCACCTCACCCCGGTTCTAGGTGCCTTTAATGAAAGGTCAATTTGGAGCTGGTGGTGTGCACTCTGGGTTCTGCTGGGGGAGAGGCAGAGGGGAGGTAGGGGGAAGGAAGGGTAGAAGAAAGGGGAGTATGGGAGAGGGAGGGGGAGAGAATGGGGTGCCCTGGCAGAGAGTTCTTGTGAGAGGCCTGTTCGCATTTCAGCAAGTATTGGTGTTAAGCGCGGTCCATGCGCCTGGCTCAGGGACGGGGTACTCAGTGACCTCTCACTTAAAGATCTTGAGGGTACGATGTAAAAGTGAGAAGAGCAGGCTGAGTGGAAATGCCTGTGCTGATGTTGTCTTTGGAGTTTTGTGAACTGGTAACGCAGGTCCTGTGCAGCCCACCAGGCTGTTGTTAGCACCCAGAAACCTATCCCCCCACCAGCCAAGGTGACCGACTCTTCCAGAGAAGCCCCAAATCCAGGACAGCCCTCCCTACACGTGAAGCTGCAGAAGGTGGCATGGCCAGCGAGCCCAGGGGAGATTTATCTGACTGGTAGTTGGGGTGGGGCAGTGAAGGGTCCAGGACTCAATCCTGCAGCAACATGGTGGGGGTGGGGTGAAGAGGAGGAAGACATTTTCCAGCCAGAAACACTGTTGTCATATCCCCCTAAGAGGGGCCAGCATCATTCTGGACAGCCTGTATGCATTCTTTCTGTAAGCCTCCTGCTTTCAAGAATATAAAATATTTCTCTTTGCTATTTGACACAGCACCATTTGAAGACCCAGGGAAAAAAGAACTTGTACTGAAGGGGTGGGGATATCTAAGGCCCCCAGCCCCAATCTCCGGACAAAGAGCCCAGGAGGGAGGGAGGGAGAAAGGGGAGGGGCAGGCAGCAGCAAGCAGCTCAGCAGGGGACCTTTCTGCTTGTGTTTATCAAGGAATTTCGGCTTTGGCCTTGCCTAGCATCTCCTGTTCTCCTTATCTCTGCCTCGTCCAGATGTCCCCAAACACCCTAATATTTATTTCTACTTGAAAAAAACAACACATCAGCAAAGGGACACCAGGGACAGAGGGTACCTTCCCTCTGGGAGCCTCAAAGTCTGGTATCTTACTTTCCCCTGGGTGGCTGGGCATCAGAGGGAGTCCATTGCTGTTTGAAAACCAGAGGTCTCAGGATGCCTGCAAACTACTGAAAGTGGAGTGGTTTTGGTTTGTTTTTAATTGTCCATTGGGAAAACCATGGTAACTTTGTTACTTCGTATGCTTGGGTATGATTTGGGGCGTTTTAAAAAAGAACAAAGAGTTGGTGCGTCATTTTAACATTTTAAAACAAGAAAAAACAAACAAAGGAAGTTGTAAAGAGAAATTATTATTTGCACCAAACCGCTCAGTCTTGCTTATTTTAGTTTTGTTTTTGTTGGGGGTGCTAAACTGTAAATGCATCAAGAGCAAATGAATTCAACCTTGGGATGCTTTGAACTCCCTTCTCTGCCAATTAACCCTCCCTAGGAAGGCAGAAATGCTTTTTTCTAACAGGCCTGTGAGCAGAAACACTTAAAGACTTTTCCGTTTCAGCAGTCAAATGAGGTGGGGGTGGGAGTGAAGATTAAGATGGATTAAAGGATTACATTTAGGAATACTTAATCTAATGCCCAGCGTCTACCGGACTGAATTTGGAATTGGGGTTAATAGCATGTTCCTGTGAAATCAGGTAATTACTGCAGTGAGTGCCCGCTTATTTCAGTGGGAAAGCGCCTTCTGGTTTACTAGGCACTTGTACGTGTCAATATCTTGAGTGTAGCATTGACAGGGATTGCTTTAGCAAGGCCCTAGGTGGGTGGTATTTTCTAGCTCTATTGATTAACTTGGTGTTCTGTAGTGTTTTCCTGTTGTTTCTAAAGTTGGAAAAAGGAAATGATCTTCTGAAATAAATTTCCCTGGAGCACAGCCATTCATTAAAAAGAAGAAGAAACGAAAACCAAAACACCTTGTTCAATCTATGGAGATGCAAAACCTTGTCGGTGTATGTGGAATACAGGAGAAGCTGTCACAGGAGTGTGGGTAGGAGATGGAGCCCCCAAAATCCTAAGTGATCAAAGCAAAATCGTGAGGCTTTGCCTCTTCCAGGAGGAAAGAGAAAGGAGAAAATCCCGATGTGAAAATTCTCTCCTTCAGTCTCTGCCCACCCTCCCCAAAGCCACCACTGGAAAATAATCCATTCAACCCTTCAAAGCTCCTTTCCTGAGTTAGGCTTCGGAAAAAAGAGCACATTTAGGGCTCTGTATACCTGAAAGGGGCTGTGGGGGCCCCATGAAGGCCCTAGGCTTTGGAAGCAAACATCGTCTGGTCTGAGGTTGAGGAAATCTGTGGTGCCTGGAGTGAAGAGGGAGAATGGGAATGATCCTAAGGATGACAGAGCAGAAGCCCAGACTCTGGCTCTCAAAAGGGTCCCGGATACAAAGTGTACGGCACTAGGGCATACTCTGGTAGGGTGTAGAGGGCGGTTCTGATTGCTTTTTGTGTCCCTGTGGCTTTGGCAGTTTGGGGTCTCCCCAAAATTGCCAATTTGAGCCTCATGGAGGGTGGGTTAGCCTAGTGGGTGTGCCCTGGGTCAGGCAGATCACATCCCAGACTGATGGTGTTTACCTGACTGGTATCAGCCACGGGGTTGGGTGGGTCTAGAAGCAGGAACCTGCAGGGGGATGCTGCAGACCAGCTGAGCCTGCTCTCTCCAGTGTCTGCAGAGGGACAATGCCCAGACAAGGCCAGTTCTAGAAGATGGAAGAAGCTGCTGCTGGCCCTGGGGAGGCTGAGGATGAGGTGGGGCTTCCTGAGAGACCCTGGGGCCTTGGAAAGCCCAGAACTTTCACATGGTTCAGATAACTTTGTTTCAAAGCACAGTATTCAATGCAGGAAAGGAAGAACACCAAAGCTGATGGGGATTCAGAAATGGGCATGGAGGGGCAGAGTCGGGGAGAGCAGGAGGATGTTGGCAGGGGTGTGAGGAGGGGTGGCAAGCAAAGCCAGTTATTGTCTTCACCTCTGAAGATAGGACTACCAGGTAAGAAGCAGGGTGCCCCCAAAATTTGAATTACAAATAAGCAACCAATAATTTTTTAGATAAATATATCCCAAATACTGCATTTCTATTTTACTTTTCTAAATCTGGCAACCCTTGCTAAAGGGGCGTCACAGGTTATTTTTATTTCCACCTTGGGCTCTTTCTGGATTTGCTGAATTATCTCATAAACAGGTATTACTTTGCCTTCAGGAGTCCCCCCACTCCTAATGCTACACTCTAATTTCTGGGCAAATGGTGTTTTCTTTTTGCTGGGTCAGGCTTAGGAAAGCGAGAGTTTGGAGCTAGGAGGGACCTGGGCAGCATGACCTCCCTGCCAGCACCCCATATTTGGGCTTAAGCCCATGACTCTGCAGCAGCTTCTGGGCCAAGGCCTTACTATCACATACCAATCGCTGTCACCTGCTCCATGCTCCTACCCTCCCTTCCCCTCTAAGTCCATTAACAGCCTCTGCACGCGGAGTCTTTAGGTCTTATAGATCTCTCCTGTCCATCATGCCTTTCCTGGGAGAAAAGGGATGAGCACTGTTGTCTGCTCACCTTATAAACTTAAGTGCTCAGGCGTCTTTCCTCTCCAAGATGTTTATCCCTGGGGACCTCCTTACCATGAGGTTACATATAAAATCACAGAGATGCCAAAATATGTAATCTTACCCCTATGTTCAGTCCTTGCTTATTTTTAGCCTATTTGAATTCTTAATGAAATTCTGTTTAAATATACATATGTATGTATATCAAAAGCATCTTAAAATATTTAAAATCTAGACCATTGTCAGAGCACTCATCTGAAGCTCGCTGTTAAGCACTAATTATAAGCCGTCCAGTCTAGCCTGTCTTTAATGGTTTTCTAAGTGCCAGGCATGTCTTTCTAATTAGACTATAAACTGGTCTTTTGCTTCTCTTAATATCTCTCTAAGCACCTGCCACCGAGTGGGGCTCAAGCAGCAGAAGTTCAGTGATATCCACTTGGTTATCCCTGCCTAAGTCCCTCCTCTCCCACTCCAGTCCCCCACCATTAAAAATGGGCTCCCTTTTCTTACCACTACTTTTAACATCTATATCCCCTGATGGATGAGTTACACTCTTTAAGTTTAATTGGTACATCATTCAGAATCACACATCTTTAAAGCATGCTCAGAATAAGCCTTTACTTCTCTCAAAGTGGGTGCAGGGGACACGAGTCTCCCTGCTTTTCTGATGTCTGTGTATTACTAACATGAATTTAGTATTAGTGTTATCTATATATGGCAATGTTGCCAGATACTGTCATTGAAAGAAATAAAAATATTTCCCCTAAATATAAAAGCAAAGCAAACTTCAAAAATAAGAAAATACTTCAAAAATAGAAAACAACATAGGCAGAGAACAAAACCAAACTTGCATTCTTTCTGTAATCATTACATATGTATCTTTCCAGTGTTTTTCTATTTATATAGATATATGTAAATATCTTCCTATTTATAGAAATACATATAAACATATTTTTATCACAAAAAGGCACATATGATTTTGTTTTCCTTCTTGAAGCAACAAACATATAATAGACATTTTCCTATGACCAGTCCCATATTATTAAACATTGACCTTGTTTCCAATTTTTCTTTTATAAAACTGTTATCAAAGTCCTGTCCACCAGGGCCTCCCTGGTGGCACAAGGGGTATAGACACAGCACTAGGAAGCTATCAGCAGCCACTGCAGCATGAATTCGATCCCCAGCCAGGGAGGAGACCCACATGGCACAGCAGACCTCTCCTGCCTCGCCTGCTGCTCCCCTCAACAGTGTATTTCAGTCAATCCAACTGTTCTGTTCCCCACTCTGTTTCTGGTAAATCCTCTCACACACCCCCATGTCTGGTCTGTACCCCAGTTCTTGTATGCATACATAAATAAATCTTAAAAAAAAAGCCAAAGTCCTGTCCACCCACTATGCCATGCCTACCTCTGCTCTCGCTTCTGTAGGGAGAGAGTTCTCAGACAGGAAATAGTTGCTCATGCAAACTGGTCAGGCTTTAAACCCTTAGCTAGACAGTCTTGTGAGGTTTCACTATTCACCTCTGCCCTGGGAATCTTAGTGTAAAATATTGGGAACTTGCTGCTTCTTCCTGTTCTTTGCTCAAGTCACTTATTGGGGTTACCAACAACTTTTCGTAGAGGCCCCCAAATGCTTCTGTATTTCTAGCCTCTAAATACAATCCCAGCCTCTCTTTCTGGTGCATTCACTCATCTACCCAGTGAATTATTTTTTGAGCACTTACTACATGCCAGGCACTGTTCTAGGTGCTGGGACATGGCTGTGAACACAGCCAAGGTCAGTGTCAAATCTCTTCTACCCCAGAGAAAATCCCTACATCATTATCCTTTAGGAGATCTTCATTGACTGCTCCTCCACCATTGTGCTGAGCATATGGGCCCAGGAAATGAGGGGTTTCTGGTCTCTGGGAACTTTTCATCTATTTGGAAGCAGTAAGTCAAAACTATACCTGAAAACAAAACAAATAGGCAAGTAAAAGGTCTTGTTGGGGGGGAGGATTTGACTGAGTGCTGAACTGTTGAGCTCAGGTGATCAAATATGGCAGTTTGGGAGAGGAACACTGTTCATGAGTAACCTTTCTAGATGCATCAAGGGGCCCTGACGTGCTGTAGTCCATCCCCGCTGGATGCAGATGCCAAGGGCCCAAGAGGAAAGGTAAAGAACAAGGATGTGCCCCCTTCCCATTGACCAGACACACTCCTTTGTCTGAGGATTTGTAGGGACCCAACTCCACAGGGAGATAAAGATACCATAGAAGGCCAGGCATTGAAAACCTCTTGGAAATTTAAAAGAAGAGAAACCATCTGGGTTCTACCCCATAGGGCTGAGTCTTAGACTCACTCACACCTCCACACCTCACACCAATTCACTGTGGTGTGACTCTTCTCCAAGGGGCTGGCCTGAGAAAATCTTTGTAATCGCCTGTGGTCAGGCCTGACGGGTCACCAGAGGATTCCGGCCTTAGTTTATGCAAGTGGAAAAAAAAAAAATCACAACAAAACTGATCTGGGTGTTTCCTGGGCTCTTCTGCACCACCTAGATGTGAAAGAAAAAGAAATAGTTATTACCTATTTGATACTTAATGAAATTTTTAAAAATACGTCTGTCTTTATTCAAACTTAAGAGACATACAGTATATTTTTAAGGAAACCAAATATTTCTGGTTTGTTATTTAAGAAACAGCAGTCCGTTTCTTGCCTTCCCTAATTTCTCCTTTCCCAGAAACAACTACTTCTGAGTAAAGCGATTATTTTTGGTATTTGCATGTGTCTCCAGATGACATTCCCGTATTGCACATTTTGCTCTGGCAGGTTTAGAAATTATGCAATGACTTCCTCTTAGGGTTGTCAGCTCTTTTTTTCCTCTCTGCTCCTAGTGTATGTGTACTCCTACCCAGCCCACCCGCCTCCCAGCCTAATCACCCTGTAATTTAGGTCAGGTCAATATTTATTCTTTATGTTATCCTGGCTCCGTGAAAGCTATCTACAGCCAGCCGTGTACTGCGCTGTGATTGCTGTCCTTTTTGTTTTCATTATAATAGTTATCTTGGTTTTTCATTTGTGTATCTGCCTGTGTTTCAAAATTCAACCCCAAATCCTTCTGCCGGTTGTCTAAGTCTTCTCTCAAGAACACTATGCATTTGTTTTTCTGGCAAATTAACCTTCATGAAGATCCTCTCTGAACCTTTGCCCTGCTGCAGCCTCAGCTAACTGCTCTCCACCTCGAGGGCCCATCTCACCTCTTCTTCTCATCATCTGGGCCTGCCTTCTCTATCCTTCCACTTGGCTCTCAGGTTTTCTGGATCCCATGTCTTGCTCTCAGCTTATTCCCTCATTTTGGTGACGCACATCCTCTGACAGCTTTCAGAAAACAGGACGGGAAATAAATTCTTCAGACTTTGACTTGTGAGAATGTCTTTTATATTTTATCTTGTGGTTAAAATGTTTCAACTTTAAAGATCCATGATAAATGTTCTCCAGATAAGCCCATTATCGTGAATTAGGAAAAATATATATTCAATAAAATATCTCATTCCATTATCCAGTTACTGAAAATGTGTTACTTCATTGCATTTCTTTTTTTTACACCTTTTCTCATTTTATTGAGATACATTTGCTATATAAAATTGTGTAAGTTGAAGATGATGTGATAGACGTATCTATTGTATAATGATTCCCACAGTAAGATTTGTTCAGAGAGAATGTCTTGATTGGTTGTGTGGCTGGCATAGAAATCTAGCTTGGAGAAAATTTCCCTCCATAATTTTGAAAATTTCACTTCATTGCTTTCTCACTACCAGTGTGGCTGCTGGGAAATCTCCTGGCTCCTGAGTCTTATTAATTACTTTCCACCTGATTTCCTCCTCTCTGTGGAAATGGCAGGACCTGCTCTAATCCACTGTTCTGAAACTCCCAATCATAGCCTTGTGCCCCTGTGTGTGCTCATGGCCTTTCCAATCCAGAAAATGGCTCAGGTGTGGGAAATTTTATTGGACTATTTCTTTGATTTCTCTCTCCTCTTTTCTCTTTTCCCCTTTCCTTGAGGGGAAAGGTTTTTAGAATTCCTGAAATAGTTCAATTATCTTCTTTTTACTGTTTGATTTTTTTTTTTTTTTTTTTGGTGGGACCCTCGCCGGCGGCTGGGGAACAAACCAGGGATGCAGAGGCTGCAGGCAGCCTCGCAGCCCAGTGCTCAACCCCTGCGCCACCAGGGGAGGCCCACTTACTGTTTGATTTCTTATTTCTCTGACTTTTTACTTTGCTTTTTGGGAGATTTCCCTCAATTTTAACTTCTAAGCTCCTACATTTTCTGCTCACTCTCATATTTTCTATTTCCAAGAACTCTTTTCTGGATAGGTATAGACACAAAATGTATATTTAGTATATAATGCATTTTTATATATTTCCAGTAAACATCTTTATATTAGCTGTATTTATATAAATGATGGATTGGTAGAAAAGCTCTGTCATTTTATTTCTATTTTTTTTGGTCTCCATTGATTGGGTGCAAGGGTTTCTTTAGATGCCTGGTGATCTTTACTTTACATATCTCTCTATAATAAAGCTAACACAACCCCAACAGTGTCAGGCGCTCTTCTAAGGCCTGCATGAGTACATTTCATTTTCACACCAAAGCCATGAGGTAGGGGTATTAACCCCACCTTATGAGAAGTTGCTCATATTTAAGTCCAGGGGACAGAGAATCTTATTGGAGGCTCTGGGCTATAGATGAACTTATCAACTGCAAATTTAGGGTAATTGGGACTTTCCCAAGTGCAACTTTCATATCAGTAGCTTTAGGTCTTTCCTTTCGGGCTGGTCAGATTATCAGAGGAGACTCTATCAAGCTCCTACCCAAAGGCCTGGCTGCCAGAGAACTGGGAACTGAGTGGGGTACGATATCTAGGAACTCAGCATCCCTTGTCCTGAGCAGTGCCTGACTCTGGGCCAGAGACCTGTGTGTGGCCTGTCCTGTCTTTTTCCAGAACGGAGGAGAGACAATCACTTGGATTTGGGGAAGGAACTGGGGGTGTGAGTGCTTTATAAATAGACCTTCAACCAGTTCTTCTAGAGTTGGCACCCTCACCTCCACCTCCAGAAGTACCTGGTGCTGCGTGTTCTTGATCCCTATGGGGATTCTGGTTTACAAATCTAGGTTGTTTCCATAGTCTACGCTGTTGGCATAAGATTCAATTTTCTCTTTCTCTTCTTGGGTTTGCTAAGTTAATTATCCCTTATCTAACTACTTTTCAGGTCTCAAATTTGCTACTGTTTTCTAATCTCCCCTTTTTCCTATTCACATGGGTCAATGCTTTAAAAAAAAAAACCTCTTTACCGGCATTTTAGTGGGGTTTCAATATGGAATGAAATCAAGTATTTACATCTTTCCAAAAAGCTTCCTGCTGCTCAAATTCCCTCTTCCTTATATCCTACCCCTTTATTCTTCTACTTACACATCACCACAGTGAGCACAAAAAATGCACAACCTTAGTTGCAAGCTGTCAAGTATTCCAGCTGGTGGGGGCTTCAGTAAGGAACATGGAGGGATGAGGAAGGACAGGAGTTAACTGTATATATTTGGAAAGTATACGGAGCATAAACAGGTCATCTTACTCTTTTTTTTTTTTTTAAAGATTTATTTATATATGCATTCAAGAGCTGGGGTATAGGCCAGAGATGCAGGAGGTGAGTGGATTCACCAGAGACAGAATGGGGAACAGAACAAGCAGATATACTGAAGTACACTGCTGAGGGGAGCAGTGGGTGAGTCAGGAGAGGTCTGCTGCACCATGTGGGTTGCTCCCTGGTTATCTGGGGATCGAACTGCAGAGGCTGTGGATTGCTTCATAGGGCAGTGCTTACCCCCTTGTGCCACCAGGGAGGCCCCATCTTACTCTTGATACTTTTATAATACATATTTTAGAAAGCAGGGCTGAACAATACCACCATTCTTCCTCAAGGGTACACACCACTAAGACTTTCAGAATTTCCAGGCAGAGATGAGACTTTAATTTTGATCCAAATAAGGCAAGAGTCTTAAAAAAAAAGTGGGGGTGGGCAATTGGCCTATGCACTGTGCCAATAGAGATCCTTCAATGACACATTTCGCACGCCAGGCTGGGAGACTTTAGGATAGGTCACTGGAAGCCCCACTCAGTGCAGGCCTTGGGCAGGTGTCTTGATGCCTGTGTGTGTGCTTGTCTTTCTTTGCAGGTCTTCTACAAATGCTCATTCATATTTTCTTTTCCTTTTTTATAATGTGGATTAAAATGGTTAACTCGGTCCAGCAGAATCATTGGTAGAACTTGAAAGCAGACTCTCAGACCTCCCTGTAACCCTACTAAATCAAGCTTTCTATGGGTTTGAGAACTACCACTGGAGGGCAGTTCCAGAGAGGGGGTTCAGAGCATCCAAGAGCTTCTGGAAATTATAGGCAACACTGAATCTGAATTTTCAGTTTTGTTTTGAAGAAAAGGGCTGCAGTTTTCATCATATTCTTAGAACAAAACCTTCCTAGCGGGTGCCACTACCCTGCATTATATAGTAATATGTTACATGTTATAATTTTCCATTTGCTTTGTTTTATTCACTGCTCTAAAGGTGGAAACTTTGTCTCTTGTCCTCAGTACAGAAATAATCTTTTTCTAGCATTAAATAAATACTGTTAAAATGAATGGAAAAAAGTATGTATGCTCTTCTGTTCTCTCGAGCAAAGTGCCATGGGAGTTCTGGACAGAAATGAGCTCTTTATTCAGAGTCCACAGGCATGGTGCTGGCCCAGACACGTGGGGTAGACATGGGTCAATAACACATTCCTGACCCTAAATCACTTGCAAACTCTACCTTCACTCTCATTCAGGAGGTTGTATTGATGGGGGGTTCTTTCAAAAACAAGAATAGTTCTTGATTTAATTTTAGCTCTTGTGGCCTTATCAACTAATGGAAGAGACCTTCTGTCTCCTAAAAACAGCTCTTCCATATCCTTAGCCACAAGGCTGCTGAGCAAATGTTCACAACAATGTTGTTCATTGTCATGAGGCTCCTGAGAGAGCCTCGCTGGTGACAGGGTCCCACAACATGGGGAGAGCTGGGTTGCTGCCACGGCCCTAAATTGGCTTTTTCTTGCTTCCAGATTTGCAGGATTGCTGTCTGGCAATGGCTGGGCAGGGGATGTGAAAGGTAGCAGGGAAGAGGCAAGGGAATTAGCAAAACAAATTCAGTTTGACTAAGAGACTATGTGACAGTAATTTGACCATCTGAGAATGTCATTCCAAGAGGTTGAAGCTCCTAGGAGACACTTGAGAAGGCCCCAGAGACAACATAAACTGGTAAATTTCCTCTGTGCTTTTTTCTTAGTTGCTTCTTGAGCCATCACAGCTGACCCCTTTACTTGCTGCTCTTAACCCACTCTCAAGGACACCCATGCCTCCAAGGTAAGAGTCTTACCCTGTAAGGGGGCCCAGCCCCTGTGGTCTGATTGGGAAGGGCTCTAAGACTTGAGTTGGAATCACTAATGGCAAAATTGAGGCAGAACGGAAGGAATCGGGGCTGCGTGTTGGAAGGGTGGATTGGAGGAGGAGATGGCAAACGTTTTCTAAGACAAGTCAACCTGTGTCACACCTGGGCATGTTGGTGGTAGCTGGTTGGTATCACAGTGCAGTGATGGGCATGAGAAAGAACTGTCTCCACCAGCTGTGTGTAAGAGAGACCTCAGGCACATATACCCACATATAGGGATTGTCTGCCTCCCTCTCTCCACCTTGCTCCTTTTTTGACATTTTCCTTTTCAGTGTTACCCTCTGCAGCAGGCAGAATTCCAAGCTGGTTCTCAAAATCTCTGCTCCCTGGTGTATATGCCCTGCACAACTCCCCCACCCTGGGGTGCGGGTGGTTAGTTATGGCATTTGGTAACTGTAATGAAGATTTCTAATCTGTTGTCTGAGTGTAAGTTAATCAAAAGGGAGAGTATCCTTGGTGGGCCTGGCTTAATCAGGCGAGTCCTTTAAAAGCAGTCTACGAGTGAGATGAGGGCAGAGAGATCCAAAGCAGCCATTGAAGAAGGAACTGCCATGTCTTGGAGAGGCCCACAGACCAGAATATGGCAGGTGGCCTCCAGGGCCACTAGGATCTTCGTCCTACAACCACAAGGGACTGATCTGACCAATATCCAGTGAGGTTGGGAGAAGATCCCAACCTCAGATGAGACCACAGCATTGGCAGTGGATTTGAGCTTGATGACAGCTTGAGGAGGGGGCTAAGACTAAACCATATCCAGACGCCTGACCCAGGGAAACTGTGAGGTAATAAATTTGTGTTGTGTTAAGTTGCTGAATTTGTGATAAGTTATTATTCAGCAACAGAAAACAAATGCATCCTTAAAGTTCATTTTAACCTGACGGTATTACAATCATGAGTGTGGTCCTGGTGGGGAGGAGAAAGGCAACATAACAGACTCAAGCTACTAATGCACTGCTGTTTGAATCTCAGAGCCACTGGCCAGCTTGGAGGACATGGGCGAGTTGCCTAACCTCTCTGTGCCTCAGTTTCCCCAGCAGAAGCACTGACAACAGCACCTTATAGGTCACTGTGAGGAATCAGTGGCTCAGTATCTATAAAGTTAGAACACTGCCGGGTGCATAGTGAATGCTTAGTAAATATTCCTCTTGCAGTCACGCTGGGGTAAAAAATGTGGCAGGAACTTCTTTCTGCACTTGTGGTTGTAGAGGAGCAACCTAATAGAAGAGGCGGCATTTTTAATGCCATCTGTTCTGGATTTCTGGCCAGGCTCTCAGTGCCCTTTCATGCTAGCCTTACTTCTCAGGTCAAACACTACTTTTACAAAGTTCTTCTGAAGAACATACATTTTGCCAAGACCTTGGTTAAGGACCCAGGCCACAAGCATTCATCGCTGGGTGGAAACTTTCCTTTTGATACCATAGCACCATAAACACATCAGGGACTCCACTGGGCAGTAAGTACTCCAAATAGATGCCGCCAGAGTGAATTCCTAAATATTCAAAGGTGGAAACAGTGACCACGTCCTCAGCAGTTTTATTCTTTTCTAGTCCTGCAACTGAATTTCTGACTCATTTACATTACCACGAGGCAGGTAATGTTGCTATCTTAAGACTGAAGCTATCTTAAAAAAGGCGGTTTCACTGGTTAGTAACAAACCCAGCAGAGTGAGTTTTGTTGTCATTTTTGTATAGAAAAGAGGAATTATAGCACTTAAGAGAAGTTTTCCAACTTATGAGCTGACGCCACCTCTGCCCCTTGTCAATGGACAGGGGGCTCAGCCTTTCTGGGTATCAGTGTCCTCCTCTGTGCAATGAGAGATGGCAAAATACATGTTTGTCTCACCCCTCGCTGTGAAAGCCACCTAAATCAACCTATGCTAAAACCAAGAATAAAGTTTTACCCGTGTTATTACTAGAGAATGACCACAATCTCACACCACAGGTTCAAAAACTTCACTCATTCATACTTGATCCATTCAACCAATATTTATAGAGTGCCTCTGAGGTACCAGTGCTGTTCTAGACGCCAGGAGCTCTAACTGCCAGATATGGAGAAAACCAAGCCCAAAGAGAGGAGAGCACCCAGGTCTGACAACTTTTTCATCTAATTCCAAGCAGGCACAGATTTAGAAATGTAAATAGGAGTGCTCATAGGGGCTGTGTTGTAAAGAATTTAATCTTGCCCAGAGAGGTCTGGTCTTTGCCCTGGCTCCTGGGAGGTAATCTCTAAAGCCCTTGGAATGTCATGCCTGATAGGAATGTTTTTGTTTGTCTGGGGGCCTTGGGTCACACCAGATAGTCTAACAATGTGATTTAGAGTGGGGGATTTGGGTCACGGGGTATCAGCTCGACCTCTGGAGGGGCTGGAGACAGACCATTCACCCCCACAGTCAACCATGCCCCCTACTAGAGCCCCAATAAAAACCCTGGGGATGGAAGCTCAGATGAGCTCTTGAGCTGTGTGTCCTTATACATCCTGATGGCAGAAAGTGAGACACCCCTCACTCTGCTGGGAAAGCTCTGTGCTTGCAGTCCTCCTGTACTGTCCCAGGTGCCTCCTCCTTGCTTGAACTCAACCTGTATCCTTTTGATAAAATAAACCACAACTGAGGACCTCCCCTGGTGGCATAGCGGTTGAGCGGTGGGCTGTGAAGCTGCCTGCAGCCTCTGCAGTGCAGGTTCGATCCCCCGGCTGCCGGCGAGGGTCCCACATGGCGCGCAGACCTCTCCTGCCGTGCCTGCTGCTCCCCTCAGCAGTGTATTTCGTCAGTCTGCCTGTTCTGTTCCCCGCTCTGGCTCTGGTGAATTCTCTCACCCTCCCACGCTTCTGACAATACCCAGTGCTTATATAAATAAATAAATCTTAAAAAAAAAAAAACTACAACTGAGTGTAAGTGCTCACAGAGAGTTCTGGAATCCATCTAACGAATTATCTAACTTATAGGGGGACCTAAGGGAATCTTGTCAGAACAGAAGGTGGTCTTGTGGCTACTGCTCCATAATGTTATAGGATCCCTTCCATGGATACAGAATAAGGGGGAATGAGTAGACATAGGGAGAAAGAGAATGTGTTGGTTGGGGCCCATTTTCAGGGCAGGGAGTTGGGCCTGCAAGAGAACTACAAGGCTGTGGTCCTGCTGTCTCAAACAATTTCCTAACTGAGACACTCTGCTGCATCACTTTCTAGTGCCAAAGTTAGGGACCAGCCCAGTCCAAAGGAAAGGTCCTCTTCCATGGGCTGAGCTATGTGCAGAGGGGAGACAGAAATAGCAAGCTCGGGCCCTTTCTACTGCTGCTCACTTATCTCCAGATGGGCAGAGGTCACCCTCAGAGGTTTCCGTCAGTGACCTGCCATACCATTGAGGAAAAAAGGGAGAACAACTAGAATGATCCACAAACAGGATACTCAGGCAAATAATAAGCTGGAATAGAACGTTCTATCTAAAAATGAATGATATGCCTCACCCTTCCCCCAAGATCCCTATGCACTGATACTACAAAGAGAAGAGAGGAGTCGATGGGAAGGTACATATCAAGTACAAATTAGATAAAGATACTCTCAGAATTACCAGAGGAAGGATATATGTTTTAGATCAAACTTCTAATATAAAACCATAAAGTTTTATAAAACATGACCAAAATTAACACAGGATGATAATAAAAATCTACAACTATTGAGTAATTACTATGTATCAGATACTGTTCCTAGTGTTTTATATGTATTAGTCATTTTTAAACCCCAACAACAGTGATTATCTCCCTGTGTTACATGTGAGCTCGTGAAGCCCCAAGTTCACTGGTTGGTAGTGGAACTGAGCTTCCACTTCCAATGGCTGACTCTTAACCTCCATGCTGTGATACCGTAAATATTTGAAAATTGCTTGCCAAATGTAAACCACAATAAAAATCTAGATACATTTCAAGAGAGGCTATGCTGGCTATATTATCCGGCTGCACTGAAGTAGTGTAAGTAGTAATTCTTAGAAAATAAGTTTTCACTACTCTATCCTAATGAATTAAAAAATCTGAATGAGAAGGAAAATTTTCTAAGAAAATGTAAATTATTCCAAATGGGATTAATAAAAAGAAGGCAAATTCAAATTGGCAACTACAAGAACAAAAACAATGGGATAAATTGAGAAAGAAAGTTGTACGAGTGCCAGTCTGGGGAGTTTTATGGGTGAATACTTCAAGGAACAGATGAATATTGACGCTCTCCAATTATTCCAGAGTATTACAAAATAAGGAGTTTTCTGCTCTCCCTTTCCCCCACAGATCCAGCATTAAGGTGATGCTACAAGCTAATAAATGTGGCAGGTGCATTTGCTTACCCATACACACACATCCACCCATGTAGTAGATGAGATGCTCTGAGCTGAAAGTAATAGAATCTTTGAGCAAAAGTGACTTAAATAAATACCAGACCATGAATGATCAAGTTCAAGAGATGTCTAGAGGTAGGTTTTCCCTATTGAGTCAGATATTTAATGAAGCCCCCGGGGACCATGGTTCCCAGGGTCCTAGCCTTTGAGGAGGAAGGAAAGCAGGTATAGAGAAATGGAGATGGGACAAAGAACCAGAGCCAAGTCCAGAAATCCACCCGCATGGCCCAAGCTGCACCGCTCACCTGTCTAGCAACTGTTCTAACATCTTCATGCCCTGTTCCAAGTGACTGGGGGTCTGCCTTGTACCTGTTTATAAATATTTTAAATATCATCCCTGAATATACCAAATATTTCTGGAAATTGACTATCTCCTAAAATGGCAGCACTGTGTTTTCACCCCCAATACGCCCCCAGCTCCCTCAAAGCAAGGGCTGAACATGTGACAAGTTCCTGGCTATAAATCTAACTGGAAGTGTGATGGGGATTTCTGGAGAGGTTTTTGTTTCCTCATCTAGATGACAAAATTTCTTGTGGTTTCCTTCTTCCTTATTCTACTTGGACAGAGGACAGGAGACGAGAGATTGAGGAGTCATTTTGCAACCATAGCCAACCAAGAATATGAAAGCACAGAGAAGGCTGGGTTGCTTAGGAGATTGGGGAGATTAGAGAGCCACTCCCCAGTTCTGGACCACTTACATTTTCTTGTGATATGAGAAAAACAAATGTTATTGTTAAGTCATTGTGGCAGGATTACTATTAAGTGAAGCTAAATGAAATTCCTAACTTAAACAGTGGGTTACAAAATGTGGGAGTGGAAAGGAATGTTTGGAGAGGTTAGAGAAGAACAAGAAAAGCAATGCATTACAGAGGTGAAGAGAACAGAGTTTACACCAAAGGGCCATTTGCTGACAGCTGTAAAGGGAGCTGCAAGGCAGGGAGGGTGTTCTCAGGACATGGTCAGAGAAGAGCCTTGAGTGTGAGGCTAAGGCTGGCAGGGTGACTCCTGTGGAGAGGTCCTGGGAGGAGGAAGAGTTGAGGAGATAGAAGTCAACACATTTGTCAGGTTGCTGACATTTGAAAGTTACTGAGATGATGGCAGCAGGGAAGGAAAGAATGACTCAGTGCCAGTTATTGAGGTGCTGAGGATGGGTCCCAAGAGCCTGGCTATGTGTTGCATTTAAAGAGAGGAATAGCCCACACCCAAGCAGGGCCTCAGCAGCTGGCTTCACTGTGGTGGTGTGCTTCTGGTCAATCGACTGTGTAAATCATGGCTTCCCCCTGACCCCCCACCACATGACTTCACCCATGTGGTATTTAGAGAATCCAAGCAAATGAATGAACCAATTAAACAAAAATAAACCTTTAGACTATATAAAAAATTTCACCTTGATCTAGGAAGATTATAAACACCCTAGAGGAGATGGCTTAGGAGAAGGGAGTGGTGCTTAACGCAAGCAGAGGTCATCTGATGACGTCAGGAAGAATGTGGAAGGGATTCTATGACCGGACAAACATCAGCCTTCAGAGGTCCCTTCCAACACTGAGGTTCTCTGGCCTAATTGTGTAGCAATTTACCAGACGTGTATGGGGAGACTCCAATGTGCATATGTTTATGTATGTCCTGACCATTCATTGTTAAAGTTCTCCCAGTCATCACCTTGAGAGGAATTGAATAAAATTTTTTTTGGTTGAATGTAAATGGATATAGAATATTGTGAATTTGGAGGTAGGTCTTAAGACACTAGGAATATTTGGCATCAAAAAGACATAGCCACCTTATTTCATATGTGCCAACATGGAATATTAGTCAAGAAATATTAAGTGAAAACAAAACAAGGAGCTACAATGTAAATAACATACTTCCATCCATTTTAAATAATTTATGTATATAATATGCATACATATGTATGTATATATATGTATATGTGTATATATGTACATAAACATATATTTGTATAGTCATGGAGTAACTGGAAAAATTTCAAAATTTGACAACAACGGTCGTGTCTGGTGGGAACTGAGTAGCTGGGTATGAAAATTATTTTCCACTGGATTTTTGGGAGTGTTTTTTTACTTCTGTGTAATGTGTTTATATTACCTATCAGAGCAATAAAAAATAATACACACTCATTGTCTTACTGAGAAGCCCCAGTTAGTGGTGGGTGCCAAAGGGGTGGCCTTTGGTGGTCCTAGGGACCACCTTATTTAATTCCAATTCAACCATGTGCAAGTTTAGAAATAATTTGTGGTGAATCTAGCCCCATGGCTACATTAGTTTGAACTTGAGTGACCCTCAACTGAGTCATAAAAATGAAAAGGGATTTTGTGACAGTTATTTAGGTAAACAAGTAGTATCACCTTGAGCTGTGAGTATTTTGCTCCAATTCCAGTATTCCCGGGTGAGCCATTTGGACACCTGGGTGGGGTCCCCATTCTGCCACGAGAGTGGAAGAATTGCAGTGTGACCTTGGGCAAGACACTCAGTTGCTTTGGCCTCCTGGAGGAGTACCAAGCTCACAATTCATTATCTAATTCATTCTGTCTGAGCCAGGGTGTGTGTGGAAAAGCCACTGCAGAGCAATAAAAACTGGAGGTTGGGCTTGGGAAATCAGAGAGCATATCAAGGAAACCACAGCTGAGTTGGGCTAAGCCTCGAGAGAATGACCATATCCTGTTTTCTGTCAGAGTCTGGGCAGGCTCTTCACCAGGTTCCAGTGAATCACCACATCTTTGTCCTGTGCTGCAGGCACCGCTCACGACACAGATGGCGCCAGGAACCCAGCAAGCCTCTATGGGCAGTAAATTTCATCTCCTTGTTAATCCCAGTCAGCATATGCTTAATTAGGCAGGGGGATGTTGGACTTCTACCATACGAATTACTGAAAATCAGTGCAGTGGATGGCTCGTTTTCATCCTTAAACCTCCCTCCCCAAATGAAGATGAAAGATACATGTGGTAAGGTGTGACTAAATTAAGGAGACTGATTTTGTTAACCTCTGGATTATTGTGTATTTACAATAATATTGCATTGATATCATTATAGGACTACACTAATATGATATTAATATAGTAAGTATGTCACAGAAACTAATTTTAACTAAAACATTACCCTCAATTCTGTATTTGTTTATATACAAACATATCTTTAAAAATATTTATCACATTTTTTAATTTCAAAGTGATATTATGGGAAAAATGTGGAAAACACAGAAATAATACCAAGAAAATCTCATGAAAGCAAGAAAAAAAGCAGCATGTTAACTGGATGGCAAATTACTCAACTTATACTTTGCTGTGTTAACAAGCTGTAGTTTCATTATGCTTTAAAAATGCTCTGATATTTCAGATGGTGTGAAATATCATGTGACACCCCCATACGTCTAGGAGCCCCAAGACATGCCAATGAATAGGATTCCTGTGTCCTCTGGTTAATCATGAACTGTCAATTTACAAATTCAGACTTCTCAGAGACCATTTCCCAGTAAGTCTTGGCATTGGAGTGATCTTAACCTGGAACTGCTGAAGGGCGCCTGCCCCACCTTCCCTACTTGCACCCATTGTCAGGGTCTCTGAGTCCAGCAATTTAGATCCATTTGCTTCTGCCAGCCCCCTGACCTTGTTAGCTCCACTGCCTTCCCTACCAGGATGTTTGGCTCCATGTGGATCCTTTGCTTGTCGCATCAGGCCATGGAGCACCAGGAGCAGTTTGCCTCACTGCCCATCTCCTGCCCATCCTACCCCAGTCTCTGAGCTCAGAGTCTGAACAGACAGGGTTTCTCCTCCATGACACTGCTAGTCCCAGTGCCATTGGGTTTCCCGAAACTTATTTGGATGTTTATGTGCCTGCCTGGCATATGCGGGGAAGAGAAATATAAATTTTTCTTCTTCCCACCTGAAGAAGAAAGGCCTGCCTTTGGACTCTCTGTCGTCTGTCTTCTATCCTTCTTGTTCCTAAATCAGCCAACCCCAGAGTTTAGCCATCAGAGGCAAAACTGTATACTCTGAGCCCTTCTGGATTAGTCTCTAATCTGGCTGAAATTTTAGACATCCTAAAATTTCTCTTTTGACAAAGAGTTTTTCCATGCTCTAAAACCGTATTTTAGATATCAAAAACAAATAGTTAACTCTTCCCTTTTTCTTAAGCCCCAAATCTATCTGCGCCTCCTGCCCCCAACTCTTTTCCTCCCCCTTAACTCATCACAGATGGATTTCGTAAGCTGATTAAAGTACATGCATAGAATCATTAAGATAAGGAAAAAAAAAAAAATATATATATATATACTTAAAAATATTACTCCAATCACGAAATTTTTAATGTGCATTTTTCCTGGCAATAAGTAAGAGTAAACATCATTTAAAACATGTCTCATGTTCATATAAAATTATACTTTCTTAATACTTTTGAATAGTTCCGTATCTACCACAGCTATCAACTCTTCACCTTAATGAATGCATAATTTTTCTATAAAATGTTTTTATGAAATATTTTTGTAGACAGATATAACATGCTTACATTCCTTTTCCTTTCATAATTTTATGCTTAAAAATATATCTTGAGACCATTTAAATTATTCACCTTTCATATTTTTTAATCATTAATATTTTTGTGATTTTTTCCCTTTTATGTATTGGGAATTTATTTTAGGATCTAGTGTTAGGTGAAGCTCTAACTTGACTACATCTAAGTTGCTAATTTGATGAATATTCTGGAAACATAAATATTTACATCACTGTTTTTGTTTTTGGAGCAGATGCACTAGTTTAGGCTTTTCATCACGTAATTTTTTTCTGAATGCAAGCACACACAAGGTCTTTTATCCAACTGAGTGGTTCTTCTTCTGAGGGATCTCTTTAGAAGAATACACAGGTGTTCTAAGGATGCTTCTATTGCTGAAAAACTTTTTGTTGATTTTGTTTGGAAACTGTTTTTGGAAGCAGCTTTTAAGCCACACAGAAAACCAGTCTTATAACTCAATAATACTTTCTTTTGGGCTCAAAATTGCATACTACAGCTTGACTGTCTGTCTACCTTATGTGCCAGATAATGTGGTTTCAAGTGACTTTCCTGTTTCCAAAGAGAAAACACAAATTTGAGGGACAATAAAGATGGGGATAAAGGAAGCACCCCAGTTCTGCTATTCATGTTTGTTTTAAAATATGACTTCACAGTTGCATTTCATCAGGTGAGTGTATGCCTGTATACAAATAAGTTTCAATTCTCCCGCTCTGCGTATTTGGCTGTAACTATCAAGTCCAATCCTGCAAAAGAAGCGTACGAAAAACTCAGAGAATGTGGGAGGAAGATGGCCTTATACAGGTGCTGACCTATTAAAAAATAAACACATAAATAAAATACTGGCTCTGCACAAACTCAGTGGTTGTCTCCCTGCCACCACTGGAAAGAGACTCACTGAATCCTGACCCTCTAGAAGTCGGGGCAATGAGTGTAATCGGGTGAGCCCGGCTGGTTGGTGATAAAGCCCATGGTTCCATTTAATTTTTTCTTGGGCCCTACATATTTCTAACAACATTGACCAAAGGAAAGAAATATCAAAATTGACATCCCTCTGGATTTTATACATTTTCCAATTTTCTAATTGTTACAGCTACTGCCAACAAAACACGCTGAAAGAATGCCCCATGAGGAGAGGTCTCAGAACACACCATGGGATAGGGCTGCAAATTTCAGTGATTACAAACAATTAAAGTGGGCAGCCAACATGTAATTTTCTTTTTAGACATGGACATAGAATGAGAAACTACTTACTGGGTTGGAATAGATAGAAACAGAGCTGTTTCCCTTTGTGTAAAAATCACATTTGATCAAGTTGAGATTACAGCTAATGTGCTCTTCCCCCATTTGCTTTTAAAATTGAGGGATGTGGAAATTAGTGAAATTAAATTCACAGCTGCATTAGTTGCAAGTAACAAAGATTTCTATTTGATCTTGCATGAGTGAAAAAGAGGACTGTTTTGGCTTTGGGAAAAAAGAAAGAGTTGAACATCCAAACAATGGAAGAAGCCAGGATGCAGCAGAGCCTCCATGACAATTGGAATCATGGCCCCAAATATAACTACAACCAGCTCTCTCTGTTCTGCATTTGGCTTCTTTCCACACATTGAATTCATTGTAGTCGCTGCAGACAAGCCTTTTCCATATGTCAGAGGGGCTGCCTGTCTCAGCTCTTGAGTGTTATTATCTCTGCTACTGGAGAGACACAGCTTGTCATTGTTCGTGGCCTAAAGTTCAAAAATCCTGCTGCAAGGAGTCACTGTACAAAGCCAGGTCACCATTTACACCTTAAATCATGTAGATCTCATCAATTTCCTTTTACACACACAGTGTTTTGAGGGAGGGACACCTTTTCTCAATGCCACAAAGGTGCCATAAGGACTGGTAGTTGCCCTGAGTGGGGTTCTGATTGGTTTGAGTGAGATGCCCACCCTGGGCCAATCAACTATGGCCATGGATTGAGGTTATCCAAGAATATGGCAGCCCCTATGGGACCCTTATAAGCAGAAGAGGCACAGAAAGGGAAAAGGGAGGTACAGTTCCCTAAAGAAAGGCATGTGCTGGGCCGGTAATAATTGTCCACTATACCTTTATAGCAGTTTTATGAGCCTATTATACATTTCCTCTTTCCTTTGAAAAAAAATTCTTGCTTCTATTCTCCTTCT